ATCACATCATAAGTCTCTCCAAGTTTCCGTCCATCTCTTATACAACCCTTTCTCCAACAGTATCATCAAGGTCGTTTCTTTAGCAAATCACCGCTTCTTTCCCTCCTAGTCTTCCCTCCATTTCTCAACTGGACCATTACCTGAAAAGGCCATTACTTGGAATCTCTTATGAGACATGAGGCTTGACTTTTAAGTGATCCTGACACCGTTGAGCCGATTTTCTGGCAACACTATGATCAGCGAAGGATGGAGGATTTTTAGAAGCTAAATACAGAGTGAGTTTTCACCTGGCAGTAAAACGTTTATGCACCGTTTAAGCAGTGTGCAAATAGTGACAAAAATCACTAAATTGTTCAAGAAATTGGCTCAAACTATTTGCATTTAGTGTCTGCTCTGTTGACTTCTATTTCCAGTTTTAAAAAGAGCATTTTCATTTTCCAAGTCTAGCAAAGCACCATGTCCCCCCTCATTTGAATCACAGGTAAACAGCACATTACAAGCCCTGGGGAGAGTCTGGGCATTCTGTAGACCAGTTAGACAGAAAAATCTGTAGCACTGGGAATTTGCTCTGACTTCCTAAATACAACCCCGTGCTCGAGTGTCCTTGCAGTGAAGGCTTCTCCAGTTTCAGGAAGCCATGTATGCTGAAGACTGCCAACTTTCCTTTACAAGTGGTCAAACCTGCTGCACATTCAACATGCTGACACCTGCCTTGACAGCTTCGAAGAAATACTGCTTCCTGGTGAATAAGTTGGGATTTTTTCCAAGTTTCTTATATGCCGTGTCCATACGTATGTGAGAATAAGTTAACTTTTTCTCTCCACAGTGACCCTGAAGGTTTTCACTCTGAATACAACATAGTAAAAAAAACAAGGGAGAAAACAGAAGAAAAGTCCAAAGTCTGAGGCTCAAATGAGGCTTCAGTTGTCCCACTAAGCACATCTTTCAAAGTTACAGTTCAGTTAAGACCAATTTCCCTCATTTCCCACGATAGTTCCCTAAACAGCTGTGGCAGAAGGATATGCTTTACTTGTAAATGCATAATATCACCGTCTCTCCTGGTCGTCATAAGATGGCCCTGAAGATGTCTTGACATGCACCAACACTTGTTTCTATAAAGCATGTCATTGTTAAACTGTAGGTGAATTGCTACCTTTTTAGAAACATTATCTTGGACATACATAATTGACTGGTGAATACATAATGTGTCATTTATTTGCACTTAACCCCTCAGCTCGATTAGCTCTACTGGTGATTGCATAGATGCTGTGCAGAGTTTCTCTCTCAGCACCTCTCCTATTATAGAAATGGGCACTACATGCACACAGATATGTCCGATTTGACTGCCATTATCTGCAGCTTGGGCCTTTCAAGGTCTGTCAGGGGAAATCTGAACACTTGTGCCCTTTGCTTAGATAGCGATGGGCAAACAGCCTGCATAAACACAGAAATGAACTACTGCTTACAAGGTGTAAATGAAGCAGGAATAAACTGGTGGAAAAACCTGGAGGGACACTGAGATGTCACATGCACAGACATAATCCAGACAGATCTGGACCCAAAACCCCAAAAATACTCCAGCTATTCAATCTGCCAAGTACAAACTTACTTCCAAGTCAACGCAGAGCACAACTCAAGTAGGAAACACTGGTGTAATGACAAAGTACTGTAAGTTTTAGAACTACTGTGTTTGTCACATTCCAGGTGAAAACCTGCCGGGTCGGGGTGGAACCTAAGAAAGTTGCAACTAAGACCTACTGTCACATACATATGGGCCCATCAATATCGTTTTCAATTTGACAACTCCGACCTGTCCAGGGTATACCCTGCCTCTCGCCTAGTGTCATCTGGGACTGGCTCCAGGCCCCCACCAACCCCCTCCCCTGGGACCCTGTTCAGGATAAGCCGTATAGAAAATAGATGGAATTTGACCATTTCTTTCACAGGGTAGAGTCATATAATAACTGATTTAATAAGTACCTATTAATTTTGTACACATTAAAAAATGATTAAACAGGTTTGTCTATTCATTAAGGACCACTTCCCCCTAATGTAATAAAATGCTAATTAAAATGAACTTTTGGGAAATGCCTGAGTGACAAAAATAAGAGGGCAAAGAGAGACACGAGAAACCACAAGCGCTTTGTTGATTGTGACTTGAACACCAAAGACAACCATACCTGCCGGGCGAGGTTGACGGCATCGGTGTGAAGGCGGTCTCTCAGGTGAGGGTCCAGCTGGGAAGCCGGTGCAATCTCCACAACCTTCAAAACAGGATGTTGCAGATACAGTGACAAGACTGCTAATACAGAAATGTAATATAAAATTGTTTCAACTCAACCATCTTAGCCAAAGCCTGAATCTTCAACAGGTCCAATTCATTTATTAATACTTATGATCTGTGCAAAAACATGAAACTAAATTAATAACCAAGTGAACTGCTGTGACTCATGATTAACAGATTCTCTAGGGTAGATCAAGTGAAATGATTTCAAAGCAGCACTTAGTTTCCCAACAACATTTGGTAAATATTTTTCCTACAATAGCCATCAGTGGGATACAGTATATGTCACTTCAGCAAAACAGATGGAGTGAATCATCTGTAGTCTCACAGCCTTTCATTCAGCCTGGCCAGGGCTGCTGGGTGGGTGGGGTTCACCATGTTGGATTCTGATCTGTTTCGGTCCACCGTGTCAAACAAGTTCACCCATCCAAGAGAACTAATTGAATCCGGTTCAAACCAACATGACCCCTGTCTGATTTTAGAAAAATAAAACTACAAGAGCTCAAGTTTCTTAACAAAACTTATTCTACAAAAAACTTTCCTCATATGAACAGCATTTCCAGTACAAAGAGAAAAGCTAAACAGATCCAATCAGTGCTTTGCCATCTCAGATCTTTCAACAATATTCCTGTTTCTAGATTCAGAGATCTTCAGGGCGAAGGTAGATCGAGTCTCTGAATCAAAGAGCTGCTGAACAAAGCTGCTAACATGATTTTTATAATTAGATTTTAAAAAGAGATGAATGCACAATAGAAACTGAGGTGACAATGGGTAATGAAATATACACTAATCGCCTACTTCTGACAAAAGCATAGTTATGAGTGACGATTACATTACCTTCCCATTTTCTCTCTTCTATAAAACTCAGACATTTGATATTTTTCCTTTTTCATGTGATGCCATTAATTTATTTCAAGCACAAACCCAAATGAATGAGCTATAGATTTAGTTTTTAACGAACCGTTTTTCTTGATCTTGATTGGTGGAGAATTACACAGCTGCAACTGTTGCCAAGACACCCATTGGTACAGCATTAGTTGTACTATATCTCTCGCCCACTACTGCTCAGGACATCTATAATACCCTCAGGCCACCAGTGCCAGAATAACCATTCCTGCAATCACTTTATACAATATGTTGCTTAGCTGGCCTGTTTATATGTTCAGAATGCAGTGGTTCCAGCTGTGATTTGTGCTCATAACCTTTGGCCCTCAACATCCATTAAACACTCATTTACATTACAGCAGAAATGCCAAGATATGCTTAAATTTAAATATTAAGTTGGGTTAGATGAATTTTTCAAATGAACACAACTGCTTCTGCTTCAGAAGCTCCATCATCCCAGTCCCCGAGAAACAGGCCTACTGACGGCCCCCCTGCAGTTTACCTGCTGGGCAAACAAGTCAGCGGATGATGCAGCGAACTTGGCACTGCACCACATCCTCCCACAGAATCTATGCACAGGCTCTCTTTGTGAACTTCAGCTCGGCGTTCAACACCATCATCCTGGACATCCTTAACTGTAAACTGACCCAGCTCACAGTTCCTACCCCCACCTGTCAGTGGATCACCAGCTTTCTGACAGACAGGAAGCAGCAGGTGAGGCCATCCTGGGAGTTACTGGAGCAACAAGATGTGGCAACCACCACAGTGCAGTCATGTTAATAGCTCAAAATACAAGTATATAATGTTTATGAATTTCCCCTATACTTCCCCTGCCTCTGACTATACTATTCTATTGTCTGTTGCCTAAAACACACCAAGAACCTCTGTGCCAGAGACAAATTCTGATTCTGACCTTTTGGTGTCTCCGCTGAATGGAGCAGTCTCTCTCATAGAGGTGGATGACATTACCATATTTATCGCCTGGGGAAAGAAAGACAAAAAGAGAAGTAAGAAATTGACAGGGGGAAACAAAGAAAAATTACAAAATAATAAGTATGAACAGAAGGAGAGTCTGATTTCAAATAAGAGGTGTGAAAGAAACGCCATCTGGTCCGTGACCGACTACGAGAGACAGTTTGAAATTTAGAGCTTTGGCAACCACAGACAGTCTGAAAAATCTAGAAATTTAAGACCAAATTCTCACAACACAGCTCCTGCTACAACCTACATCTACACCTAATCTGTGTGCAGGGTTTCACGATTAATCGCTTTTCATTCTCGATTCAGACCCCTACACCATCTCATTTGCACGTGACAACCATTCTGCCATGTTTTCATTAGCAGGGAGATCCATTACATCAAACCAAGCGCTCCCTTTTTCTCACCAAGCTGTGTTAACAGGAATGCGCATCATGCAATGAGCTGTACACAGGAACAGACTGATTCAAAACCAATTCAACATGTCAAGATGTCTGCAAGTATTGTTCTGAAGCTACCAATGACAACATGGCGAGAAACATCACCTCAAAACACAACAGGAAGTTTGAACTTAAAAAAAAAAAGACTAAAAATTCTGGTTGGCATTTGGAGGACGAAAAGCTAACGTGCATAACTCCAGACAGTGGAGCAATGTTGCAACAAGGATTCAGTCTTTGGCCAACAGAGAAAATCATGATTCAATTTTGAATGAAAAAAAAAAAAGGGATTCATATTTTACCCAGAATTATGCAGCCCTAGTATACAGGATATAACACAGGATGCACCGGTTGACCCTAACCCTGCACCGTCTAATATAGACTCCCCCCGAGGGACCTCTGACCTACGAAGAAATTGTAAAAGGTACAGTTTTGAAAACCACTTAAGGGTACAGTACATTTAATAATTCACTTTCGGCTGTTCCCGTCAGGGGTCACCCCAGCGAATTGTCACACTGACGGCTCGCATGGTGAAGTTTGGCACACATTTTACACCGAATACCCTTCCTGACGCAACCCTGACTAACCCGGGCCGCAGCAGTGAAAGCACTGAATCCTAACCGCTCGACCATCAGGGTTAAGTACAGTACATTTAATAGCAGGTTCTTTTCCCTCCATGTACCTCACTGTGTGTGGAAACCAGCAACAGACTGGCCAGAAACAAAACCTCAGTGCAATGCTTATGAAAAATGGCACCTAATGTCTTTTTTAAATAACCTTTAACAAACGTTATATCTAGCACAGCAGCACATATTAAATCACAATCTGACATGTCTCAAAATTGATATACTACAGTCCAAGACTGCAAACCATGGATATATAGTCCCCATCTCACACAAAATGGCCTGCAAGATGTGACCTGTAAGATTGCTGCTATCACAGAGTTTAACAGGCCTCAGAAGGAGTAAAACTGGAGGGGGGGGAAGACAAGCAAAATGGAACAGTAGAAAATGCTTTGAGAGCAAGAGAAAGTATGAGATGGTAAAAGTGAAAAAGGGCAGTGGGGAAGGAGGAAAACAGGGCTGGCAAAGACATGGCTTTTAACAGATAAAAATTCACAATCCCCTGCACGGCCTCAAGACAGTAATTACAGGGTCCACATATGTGCACAGAACCCCTGCCAAAAATAATCAAGTGTGTTTGATAACAAGCCCTTGCAGTGCAGCATATGCTCCAAATGTAGACGCTACCTTGGTTGAATTTCTGTTCTATAATATAGGGTTGTTAGATCTGCATTCATTATGAGGAAAACAATGACAGACCCTGCACCAGCCAAATTTTGATTCCCTCTCATTGTGCATCTGTTTCACGTCTTCCCTTAGCACTGCTACTCAATTTGAGGACTTCTAAGCATCTTGCCTTCTTAAGCTTCAGTCAATTAGCAAACAAAAGAAAATGGACACAGTTAAAGGACAAGACGAAAGGAAGCGGTAGTGCACTTACCAAGGATCTGCACTTCAATATGCCTTGGCTTTTCAATGAACTTCTCAACAAACAGGGCTCCGTTTCCAAAAGCCGCCAGCGCTTCAGAGTAGGCCCGCTGGTAATTCTCCTCGAGTTCCTGAAACAGTCAAGAGAAATCCATACACATCTGAGTTAATGCCAACATTAAGAGGAATGACAGTGACAGCAAAGAATTTGTATGGTTTTGAGTTTTGTTGCAACACATTTCACACTCATTTAATCTCAACAGATCATTTACTTTTTACTTAAATCTCCTATTTTCTATGAAATTCAGCATTACTTCCTGTGTGATGTCATGCAGTCTTCTGCCCCCCTCATCTTGTTTACACGCCCCTTAGGGAGCAAGACGTACACAGTGTCAGTGATCAGGCTGAGGAGGTCATGCCACAGCATGATGAACGGTCATGACTCAACGTGCTATTGTCAGTCTGAGACATGCTGCCAGCCAATCCAGGCTCCTCCACTGGGAATTTCAGAGCCACAGGAGAGGATGCTTGAGCCCTTCTTTCCTTGGCTGTCATTTCACAGCCTTGAGAAAGGATACCACTAGAGACAAAACCAGATGCTCAAGGCAGAAGCAGACAGAATTGCCAAAAGCAGGTCCATTGTTGCGGCAGAATGGCTTCTTTATAAAACAGTGCAGAGTTGACGTCAAAAAAAAAAAAATTTTGACAAACCAAAAATTCTGCCACTGAATTTTTTTCTGCTATATTAACGTTCTCATTCAGAGCTTCATAGAGGTAACTACAATAAATAAATTCTAGTTTCATGAACTCAAACAGAGTACAATATTCAAAAGGAATAGTTCATCCAATTCTTGGCACAATAGTGAATAGAAATATTTCTCAAATTGTCTAATTCAATGTTAACATTCCATCTAACAGATCATGAGTCACTGTGCATGAAAAAGGACTTAACATATCTTTTCAAACCAGATATTGCAACTGAATTTAAGTTTAGCTGAGTGGTAAATTATAGCTAAAAAGCCCAATTTCCATCTGCATCCCATCTTCTATTTCCCAGAATCAAACTAGTTAAAAAATAATTGTTAGTCATATTGCAACCTAAATAGAGAAACAAAAGACCACAGTAAATTTAACATTCATTACAACATAAGTGACTAAAGAGAACACCGGCCTCCAACTCACACCAAGTTATAAGTGTGAGAAAATTCATGGTCAGACTTTGGCAAGTTGTCAAATCATTGGTGCACCTCTTGTTTTGTAAATGACCAAAGAAAGACCAAGTTAGCAGACTTTCATTTGTACTCTTTCCACATCAGTTCAGGCCGTCTGTCGGCTCTAGCCACAGGAGCTTTGATCCGTGCCGTTCTCCTTTTCTGTTACCCTTTAGAAAAAGCACGTCACGTCAGATTTGGAGCTGAAATCTGGTACTTTAATGCTGCCTTGCTTATCAGTAAACAAACATCTCCTACAGTTTGCTGCCAATAGTTAGGCTCTCAGTTAATTCAGCGTACAGATGACCCACAAGCCTTAATGGAATAAAAAGTCAGTTTACACTGAGAAAGCTCTTTACAGTTTCCTCACATAACATCAGCTGGAGCCGCTGAGGCCCCTGTGGCTCCAGTGAATAAGTACAAATGTCAACAGCTAATTAATTAGACTAGTACAACTCAGAAAAGGCCATACTTTCAGATGGAAGCTGATTTATGAGGCCTCAGTAACAGTACAAACATAACACTGCCATTCCTTGTGGAGATTAGTGACTAAGTCAGTAATAAGCATTTTCACTCATTTATCACAAACCATAATTTATCAAGAAAACCCACCAATGAATCAATTTGTTGCCACCCTAAAGGGAAATAACTGAAAGATCCTACTCTGAACCTATAAGGCATACAGTACTTTTAAAATCGGGGACTAAAGAGGTAGTATATTTCACATACAGTGGAACCTTGGATTGGGAGTGTGGGTGCGTGTTCCTTATTTTGAAAAGAGAAGACTAGTAACCCGGTTTGCAAGTGTTTTGCAAGACAAGCAAAAAAATTTTGATTCGATATACGAGCGAGGTCTCGCAATACGGGTAGTACGTACACTTGTCTGCCAAGCGTCACGTGACATACGTCACAACTGAGCCGAAGGTTCTCGCGCTTCACTCTTAGTCAATATCTGTACTGTAACAACGGCCACTCACGCCAGCCACGAATCTTTTCAAAGGTAAGGTGCAGGTTTATAACTGTATTTTGTATTACTGTAATCATTTTTATATGGATAAGTGGGTGTGGAACAAATCATCTGAGTTTCCATTATTTCTTACGGGGAAATTCGCTTTGATATACGAGTGCTTTGGATTACGAGCACATTGCTGGAACCAATTATACTCGCAATCCAAGGTTCCACTGTATTTGAAAATGCCACCAGCCATGAAGGATGAGGTTACTTTGTGTAGCTCCAATTCACCACTGATCTGTCCTCTTCTGACAGTCTGACATGTTCAAACTTGGGAGGCAGGAGCAGGAGAAAGCAATGCCTGTTCAAATGGACACTAACCACACCCACTGCTGGAGGTACAAAAAGCCAAGCTGTTGCTAGGCCTCCGCTGAAATAACCAGGAGCAATAACTTGCCTCTTCCTGGCGTCTATAGACCTGAAGGAATTCATTTTTCCTGTGAGATACATTGGATAACAAGGACATTAAACCTTCCCATTTACTGGTTTTCTGAGGAAATGTAATTATTTTACCATTAATACTTTACAACAGTCTTTAAATAACCAATGTTTCCGTATTATTGAACCGTGCCAAGTGAAACTATCATTGGTCCTACTTGACTCGGCTACCCAATAATCAATAGAGGTCTAGTGTTTTTATTAGAGGTTACATTTTTAAAACCATTCTGAATTTGTCACAGGCAGCTCCCAAGCACTAAAAGTGAGCAACTGTTGGCTGCCCACATATTTTTAAGTCATTCGGCTCAAAATCTGTCTATAAGCAGTACTATTACATTTTAACACCCAACACACAAGAGCAGAAACAGACACATTCAGTCATTTACTGTATATATAATATTTTTTAAAGCTATACTGTAGACTGCTTTGATTTTTTGGACTCGATGCAGTGATTGCATTTGTACATGCAGATGTTGGAAAAAAAATTAAGCCTGCAGTCTAGAGGTCGCAACAGTTGGTACAGGTCAATCAGTAATTAAACTGTTATTCCTAAGAGACTTGTCAGAATCCAGACAGATAACCGAGACAAACACCTACACATGCAAACTGGAGCAAGATCACTGAAGACATGGAAAATGAAAGGTCACGTGATGTGTTGGCCAGACACAGCTGGTCTAATGTCACATCATTTAACAACAAACTGCTTCCAAGATTCCAGAGGATGCTAATAGAGTAATATCACTCCAAAGACCAGTTTGGGTCTACACTTTACTCCATTAAAGTGCCGTATAGTCACTGTGCCAGCTACTGTATAATGACAGGCCATCGCTGCTGTCTGGTGATGGCACCTTTACATGGCAGAGAGGAGGAAAATGAGTGCACAATACATGGGTAGTTTCAGGGCACATTAAGTTATTGAGGAAAATTTCCCAAGTGCAGCTTCCCATCTTCTGCTCAGACAAGGACACACAAGACACCCAAGATGGGTTTTATGATCTTTACATTAAAGTCTGTATTTGAAAAGTGGGGTTGGACAGTTACAGTACTGAAGGACATTTTCTTAATGTCCTCCGACAAGCCAACAGGTTTCACCATGTGACAGCGTGCGCGCGCGCACACACAGGGTGATTGGTGGCCGGAGAGATAAATGACCAAGTTGTAGTGGCCAAGTAATTTCATTATGATGCACCACAAACAGAAAATTAATGAATATGAAAACCAAACATTTGTCATGAAGCTGGCCAGCCATCAGGTCGGGTTTGTCCACTCTTTGCTGGACAAGCCGTCGGACAAGATTTATGTTGTTAGAGCAAGCTGTTCACGAACGTGATCGTGTGCTGCGGTGCCAGATGGGCTCACCTCGTACTCTCTGACCACCCTCATGCCTCGACCTCCTCCTCCATAGGCTGCTTTGAAGATGATGGGGAAGCCATATGTTTGGGCAAACACTTGTGCATCCTGCAGGGAGGAGATGGGGGAATCTGTTCCTGGGACCACAGGTACACCTAAACAAGGGTGGGTTGAATGAGAAATCTCATACTTTGAGATGCAAAAAAATAAAAAATAGCACAGTAACTGTCAGAGTGAGTGACTGATGTACTACCCAACACTCGTGTCTAATCCTGAGCGTGTGTTCACTCGTGTATAGGAAGCACTTGGTGTACAAAGACACAGAGGAGCTTTCATTGCTTTGGTAGATTCTGTTGAGGGTTTTACACACAGCTCTGAAAAAAGACCTGAAG